TTCTTCTGTGAGTTCCTTCCTCTTTAGAAACATCTCAGCTCTTACGGTTACAACAGGCCTTTCTCTTCCCCTCCCGACAGCAAGCAATCTACATTTCTATTACAAACAAGCTGGCTGTAGATCATGACTAATATCTCCCACTAGCTTAGCTCACTGCTGGCTTTTGCCAGGGTACAGAATTCATAATGAAAGAACCGTTGTGGTGCTGTTTGAAATACTGAGCATTGGAGTGGGAGGGGTTATTTTTACAGCTTTTTTTTTTTAATTAACCCAACCCTGACTTTTAAGCAGGATGGGGCCCACTCTGCAGAAGGAACCGGAACTATCAGACAGGCAGCAGATTGCAGTTTGCTGAGCGCGGCTGCACTCAGAAGAAATTTGAATCGAGGAGCCAATTTTTTGAGGCGCGTTCAGAAAATTGCCGAGGTTCATTATGACGCCCCTGGGCAGGACAGACAGGATGTTAATTGCAGCCGTTTGCAGCCTGTTATTATTGGAGGCCAAAAAACACGGCCCGCTTTTTGGCAGCTGCGAGCGCTCAGGAGAGGGGAAAGTCTCGAATAACAGATCCCAGCCTGCCAGGCCTGTGATGAGCAAGAGAAGCAGGGTCTTTCACACATAGGAATCAGCAAAAGCCAATACTTAGTGGTTTGAGTCTCAGCATATAATGTGCAGCCTACCCATTTCTCAAACAACCGCAACAACCATCGCTGCCCTCCCCCCAAGGAATTACGCACGAGGATACTTGGAGATGGTGGAGGATGTAGGATTTACCCTGGCAGATCCAACCAAGGATCCTGCTAGCCCTGTCTCAAGCAATGCGGAAAGCTGGATCATTCACACACAGCTGTAAAACCCGTAATAAACGTCATTGCGCAAGGCTGTCTGAGACAGATCCGGCAATTTCCTGCATGCTCCTTAGTAAATTAAGCTTAACTTTCTTTGGAGGCCATTGTATTAAACATGCAAAGGTCCTGTATGTTTGTGGGAGCGTATGTAACAGCTGCAAGAGGGGAACATGACCAGAGTCAACCCTGGGACGTGTTCTGAGCATCTAAGGACTGCGTGAAACAATGTGCCAAACAAAAATGAACTTACGGGACAAAGAGGTGGGTTTCCCAGAAATCTCTTGAGAGGGTGAGGGATGGGTGTAAAGATACCCCCCTCTGCTTTTGCAGGTACTCAGCCTTTTGCATCTTTGCCTTGCAGAGGGGCCCTTTATCTGCTGGTTACCTATTCCGAAAGTGCGAGGCTCAAAAATCCAAACTGTACAAAGCTCACAGATTCACATGTGGGGGAAATGTGTTCCACTGAACACCCCAAACAAAGCAAAGGCTGTGGCTTAGAAGGCCAAAGGGCTGCGCACAGGTGTGCGTCAAGGGGGCCAAAATCAACCAAGATCACAATGCTCTCCGTGCAAAAATGGTTATGAATTTGTGACCACAGAAAAATCCCAGGATGAGGGTTTTGAAAGACTCCTCCCCTGCCAGCCCCCTGGCTGGAGTTAAGGTCAACTCCAGGATGCTTATTGGCACACATGCAGGCTCTTTGTGTTTCATGTCCTCTCTGTAATGCTGTCACCTGAGGAATACATGTGCTTGCTCAGAGAGCGCTGAGTGGTGACTGTGGGTCATTACGGTATCTGTAGCCTGCTGGGGCAGTCTGACATGCTGAGGAACTCACATTGCAGTTGGGAACACGGGTGCAGTTGCCCTGAGCTGTGACACTGTCCTCAGAAGGAAAACGGCTTCCTGACCTCAGCTACTGGTCAGGTTCTTGCATGAAGACTAATCCCCCTTGTAATTTATATTAGCCAGTAAATGCAGGTGATGTTCTGATTTATACATGTCTCTAATAATTCCCTTTTGGACCCGATTAAGGTATCAGAACCAGAGTGTATTTATTCCTTTCCCAACTCAGTTGAAAGTTTGTGTGTTAAATGAAAGCTGGTGTTATAGGAGGACGATTCTGCAATGGGAACTGAGTCTCCATTGTACTCTCATCTTTGCCAGGCCTCCCCTTCGTGACACTAATCTCTTTTGTTAAAAGTTTAGAGGTTTCTGACTAGAGGGTTTAAGCTACCCATCCTGCTATAGACCCACCCACGTTACACCAGGGAGCTGTGTGGCCCAATGACCCAGACCAGATATTTCAGTGATCACTATGCAGTGGTGCTGATGTCCTGCAACGGCACATTCCGTTTATACAGCTGCTGAGAGATGCTTGGGAACCATCAAACTGCCTCACGGGGGCATGTCGACACTACAGAGAAGATGGACTCTGCAGAGGTCGATTTTCCAGTGTTTGACTTAGCAGGTCTAATGTGGACTTTTAAATCCAATGCTGAAGGCAGCCCCCCGCGTCCGGTACTCCTTCTGCGAGGAGCAAGGGAAGCCGGCGGAGCATGTGTTCCCGCCGGCCTCCCTCAATGCAGATGCTGCAGCGGCTCGGCTTACGGCAAGATGAATCCAGCTACGCATTTTGTGTAGCTGGATAGTGTACCTTAAACCGACCTGCCCAGTCTAGTGTAGACGAGGCCATGGTGCCCAAGGAGGTCTGCTGATAAAACTGGCAGCAAACAGCAGCTTGGGTTCAACTTCTCAAAGTTATTTAGGTACCTAACTCCCCTTGAAAGCTGGGAATCCTCGAGGAGCTGGTCCTGCTGTTAGGCAAAGCCTGGAGTAGAAAAACATGGGAAGTCACTTGCCAGAACTAAGCGGCTGACGTTGCTCCAGGAGAAGGATGCGTTTGGGGGAGGGGTGCATTTACTGCATCTCTCATTTTTAACAGTGAACCACTATGGGGAAAAGGGAGTGTCTCCTCCCCTTCTCCCCCGTCCCGTTCCCTTCTTTTTGATGCATCAAGGCAGCCTGGAAGATTTTAAACCGTATCAAGAAGGGGAAAGTTTTGCTTAATTTTTCCTTGGGAATATCAGGTTTTGCCTTGTCTCTATTGCTGCAGGTGGACTCTTTAGCTGCCTTTGAAGGCTTTCCTCACCCTCCTGGGTGGCGAACAGTTAAAAACGGAGAGCTTTGCTGCCAACTACTTGCGACAAAGCTTTTAAGCAATGTGAATAACAATCACTTCCTCTCTTAGGTTAGGTTTCACTTGCCTGGCCTCTTGATTTCACAGACCCACTCTATGTTCGACTAGGCGAGAGCTGAAGTTCTACTCATAATGCGAGGATGAAGCAGGACATGTTAATAAAACGGGCTTTCCTGTCACCGTTACACACAATAAAGACTCAAAAAACCTTTGCTCATCCCTTTTCGTTCTCTACTAACTTTCCCTCCAACAGCTGAATCTGTTGGCTCCGTCACATCCTCTCCTGCCCCTGAACAATCAGCTACTCAGGTAAAACAAAGGGAAGTTTGAGGATCTTCACCTGCCTGCAACAGATGAGTGGATACCCAGGGCTAGTTTGGCTGGGATCCCTCGCTTCCTCTGGTTTCACTTCTTTTCTGCCCGGGCTCAAGGCCTCACCAGTGCACCAATGTATGTACAAATGTGCACCACCATAAGAAGCACAAGCCAGCACACTCTGCAAAGTAGTTGGGGGACATGGGAATCTCTCCTGAATAGCCGCATAAGTGCACAGCTTACAGGGAACACTACCCATAACCCTCCACGGGGCAGGGAAGCCAACAATCTTACTACTGAGCGTGACAACAGCTCTGCCAGCCAGGGTTTCCTCTTCCCTATTCCAACTGAAGGAATTTAACTGCAGGTGCCCTCACCCAGTCCCCGGCTATCAGACACAACCAGAACCAACAAAGTTCCTCTGTGGCAGACTCAGCAGATGATAGGCCAGGAGGAGCTCTGATGTTTTCAGTAATAAACAGTGGCTCAAAGAGCAGAGCCATCATCCCCAGCCTGCCTATGAACCCACCCGCTCATCCACTGCGGAGGGAAAATAAAGTCCTACATCCCAGGGTGCACTGGCCTCGAAACTTTCTCTCACTGCATTGGTGTCAATGGGAGTAGTGCAGAAACCCACGCCGAATCTGTCCCTTTGGATGGAACGAGAGCACCGCCAGACTCCTTTGCATTTTGTCTTTGCATCAAGAGACAGGGACAGGGTTAGCGGAGGGGGGAAAAATCAAGGCGGGAAAGAGCAAACGTGGAATCGGAGGTCCCGATTCGCCTCTCACTCCCTTCCTCAGGACCTCAGGAGCTTAGTGTAGGCACCTCTACGGCATGAGCAATAAAGCCAGCTGGTTCTCAGCTTAGGCAGTAGAGCTCCCTTGTTCTTATCTCTCACTGTCAGTGGTCTAAGTGCCACTACAGGGGACAGTGAACCACACTGGGTGTGTGGGTTACACTTTCACAGTGACAGAGAGCAGCCCCGTAACCAATGTTCCCTCTAATCTTTTCCATCCAAGTGCACAATTTTTCCATTCATGTGTGGAATGCATTTTGTTATGTGCACCAATGCATGTACAAATGTGCACCACCAGAAGAAACACAAGCCAGCGCACTCTGCAATGCGAAACTCTAAATGAGAAACACCACCACCCAACTGAGCAGTGTAAACAAGGAGAGAGTTAAGCCCAGCCTGCCCATGGAGGGAATCCCAGGGGGGAGAGATTTGGGAAGAGGCACAAGGCTAACAGCTCTGTGGTACAGCGCACCATGTCCATTAATGGCTGTGGGATCCCTGCTCAGAGATTAGTAGAGCTTCCAGGCCTCTGGGGGGGTGGGGGTGGGGTACTACACTGGAAAAGAAGCATTTGAAAAAAGAAAGAGCAGCCAACAGCTGGGAGGAATTATTGCTTCAAAGGAAGAGGGGGGAAAGCCTGTTTCACTCAGGAGGCTCACTCCAATCCCAGCACCGTTCTCGTAGCTCCGGCTCTGTTCTGCTCCAGCATAAGGAGCAAAAAGATTTTTCTTTTGGTGGCAGCACTCCCGGGGTTAAACGTACGGCCAGTCACTCCGCTAGGAGAAGAGGACAAGCCGCCCAGTTTCCTGTGGGAAAGGAGAAGGAATTCCCGACAACTTACCTCAGCGAGAAAAGGAGGAAAGCAAGGTGAAAAATCCCTCCCTCCGAGGCGGGTCTGCTAGTTCATGGACTCTGGGCAGTCAACACGAACGGCAGCCGAACCAGCCCGGAGTGAAAGGCAGAAGTGGAGTTTTCGCTCTGAAGCAGCCTGACTTCCCTTTTCCTCTCTGAGAAATGTAACCACTTCCTTGCGTGGGCGTTGGGGACTGCAGAACGCTGCACAGGCTGCCTCCAGCAGAAGCAGCCGCCGCAGCAAGCTTGGGCTGTCTTCCTCCGGTCTCCAGGCCTGTCTGCAAGGCTCTGAGGCCGACACGTGGAAGTGCCGGAACTTCCTCGCTACAGCTTGGCAGATGCCTTTGGAGCTCAGGGGATCGCTGCTACGCTCAGCAACCGGTTGCGTTCGCATCTGGCCCACAAACCTGGCAGAGTCGAGGTGCCTGGCTTCATGAGGAGACTTGGCTGCGAAAGGCCGAAGGGAAGAGGCAGAGGCAGGGAAAGATTCTGCTTTGCCTCCCCCTCAGTTGGACAGTTTCATAGCTAGAAGGGATAGGCTGGTGGCTGTGAAGAACCGAAGTGTTTGCAGGATCAGACCCAAAGCGTCCTCACAACGACAAATATCCACTCTTTCTTCTGAGCAAAATACTGACTGCTCGTCCCGCTCTGGCACACCAGCCCAGTGTATCCCAGCTGAGTCTGAGGCCTATTTACGTCTTTCCCATGCTGGCAGGTTGCAGAGAGGAAGGAAGGGTCAAAAATGCCCCTCACGCTTGGCTTCTCAGTATGGCACCATGACACTGCTTTCCTGGTGGGCTCAACCGTGCTCGCAGGGCCCGACTCGCCCTTACGCACAGGAGGAGCCCTAGGGAGTGACGCCACAAAACTGGTGCATGAGATGGAAATCCGGCTCCTGGCAGGCAATGCCGCTGCGCCACAGAGTTAAAGAGAAGCCGTGGCGCTTTGCTAACCCAATGTTATGATTCAGGGTTGTGGGTCAGATTGCTCCCTAGGCCAGCTCAGAGTGTGGCATAGGGTCACGGGGGAGGTCGTTTGCATCTCAACAAAGCTTGGGCTGCTGAGGCCTAGTTCAGCGAGCGCCCCACCACTAGGGTTCCCAGGTGTCCGGTATTCACCCGGACAGTCCGGTATTTTCACCTCCTGTCCGGTAAAAAAAATTCAGAGGATACCAGGCACCTGAGATGTCTGGTATTTTCTGAATTTTTCCCCAGCCAGGAAGCGAAAATACCAGGCACCTGGCAACCCTACAAACACTCCTCCTCCCTGCCCCGAACCTCCCTCTGGCCCCCAACACTCCCAGCTCCTCCGACCCCCATGCTTACCTGATTCCCCAAGGCTGCCAGCACAAAATGGCTGCCAGCCAAAAGGCCTAGGGGAAGCAATACTTTCCTCTGGATGTTAGTGCTCACCCGCTCCCCTATTCCTACCCCTGCACTCACTCTTAAAGGGGACACACTGTTTTATTAGAATTTTTTTTTTTGGCTCAGGTCCTTGGAGTCCTTTTCTTAAAGGGGACACACTGTTTTATTAGAATTTTTTTTTTTTGGCTCAAGTCCTTGGAGTCCTTTTTTTGGGGGGGCTCCACAACTTTGGTCTCCCCCCCTCTTTTTTTCCCCCCTTCAACAGAATTTTTTCCCAGTGTTTTTTTTGGGGGGGTAGGGGTGTTCAGTATTTTTGTTTCAACCATCTGGCAACCCTACCCACCACCAGATTAGAGCAGCACTGAGCTTCACCCCGACTTCCAGTCCAGCTGCCACAAGTGTACAGACCTGGTGGCACTGGGGGAAGGAGCAGGGCGCAGAGACAGCCTGCTCGTGGCCTGTAGTGGAACAGCCCCCTGCTGGACAAGGAGGGGCTAGCTCCTTGCACTCTTAGTGGCTCCTGGGGACCAGTGTTGCTGGCAAAACGTGGCTACGGTGTAGGAGGGAAGTCTCCCCTTTCTCTATAAATTACACCTTAAAAGCAAAATAATGAAGAACCACAGACTTCCACTTTGCCACAGCAGCAGCCACTGCTGAGCAGTGTTCCTTTTAAGTTGAGCATTTGTGTAGCCACTTAAGAGTCAGAAGCAGAAAAAGACTCTCCACATTCCCCTCACACATCACTGTCTAGGGAGGCCCAGGCTAGGAGATTGTGGGGGGCCAAAAATGTGGGGTTGTGTCTGGGAGGGGGCTGCCAGGAAGTGGGCTTGGGGTGTGGGTAGGAGGGAGGGCATAGGAATGTGATAGAGGTCAGCGGGGCTGGGAGGGTGCAGGATCAGGCTGGAGGTGGGGGGGAAAGGGGGTTGGGCAGGAGGCAGGCACTTCAGCCCTACAGGGAGAAGCGCAGGGGGCTACAGGCTTGGAGCGCCAGTGCCAGCTCCCTGATGTTGAGTGGGTAGAGTCCTGGGCCTCAGGGGCCAAATTCAGGCAAGCTGGGGGCCGGATCCTCCCCCACTGAGGCTATAGGTTTCCCACCCCTGCTTTAAAGATACTTTTGGTCTGGGCTCAGCCAGCCCCGTTCCTGCCCTGTTGCAAACCGTGGCCTGAAGGGGTTTTAAAATGCTACTAATAATTGAGGAAGTGGGTTTCTGTGTCCTGTTGCAAACCGTGGCCTGAAGGGGTTTTAAAACACTACTAATAATTGAGGAAGTGGGTTTCCGTGATCAAATTCAACCCCTCCCCTTTTCTTTTCCAGTGTCACTTTAGCAAGGAAGAAACAGTGACAGTGACTATACACAACCGTGGTCAAATGCTCACAGTAAACTAAGAGGTTTTTTTCCTACTACTTCCATGGTAGGGCCAGCTTATGGCTTCTGGGCAAAAACTCATTCACAGACGCTGGTCCAGTAAACAATATTACCTGAACAAGTTATTACCAAGTTCCACCTACACTGCCTAAAACCAGGATTGTCATAGTTACTCTTAAGCAGGCACCCAACAGTTTACTTAGTTTCCTCACACAAGGAATGGGTTGACTATTTACCAATACATATTTCTAAGGCAACCGGCACCATAGCAGACAGGGTGACTAACCTTTGTAAATCTCTGGAGAAGTGTGCAGAGTTAATATCCCGGGCATTGCTGAGGGGAGGATAAGTAGCTGAAATAGCTGCACAAAGGCCCGACCCAAAAATGCTTCAAGATTTACCTTTCCTGGCCTATCCTAGATTTCTTGCTTAACTGGATAGTCCGGATTCCTGCAGCATGTAAGGAGTGGTGTTCCCAGAGCGGCCCTAGTCTAAGCAGGAGGCTTTAGGGCTGAAGGTAACAGAGGATGGTCTGGCAAGAAACTCTTAAAATCAGGCAAGAGGATAGTTTTGAGGGGAGAGATGCAAAAGCCTCCAAGGCAAGCTGGTGGGTGTAACCACGCCTTGTCCCTCAGTGGGGGACTTGGCTAACAATGCACCTGCTACAGTCTTTGCAGAGCCAAAAGTAGTTAATTAACAGTGGCTTTATTTCCTACCCTGTGGATATCATTTCCTCCAGCCAAGCCCATCCTCCCTTCAAGCTACTCCTGGGCTAGAAGCTGTCATCTCAGCAGTGCCCCTCTCAAGCTGCTCTGCCAGGGATCCCTTCCTGGGTCCATCAGTGTATTGACTCTTTCATTGTAAGCAGTGGGCTGGACCGCACAAGAATACGACCACTGATCAGAGAGCCCTGGCAGAGAGCATGGGTTTACTTCACTGCAGAACAAAGAGTCTCCTCTCCAAGCTGCAGTTCAGACGTTCAGCTGGCGGAAGGCCTCCCCTAGATCTCACCGCTCCTGCGTGTCCAGGCTGTGAATTAATTATAGGTCAGCGTCATGTCTGTGGTAAGGACACTTATCTGACTGAACACAGAAAGCTCAGAAGGCAAACCCAGCAGTGTCCTGTATCAGTGATGGGACTTCCTCTTTGCTGCAGGCAGAGGCGTGGCTGCTATCGAGCTGCGGTGTAATTAACCAGGACAGAGCCATGGCTGCTGAACATGTGCAGCTCTTGCAGTGATCTTGTGTTTCTCCAAAGTCGGATGAAAATGTAGCCCCTGCAAGAGAGTAAGCAGGCTCTGCTGTCTAGGACTGGTCTCAGGACTCCTAGGATCTATTTCCAGCTTTGTCACAAAGCCCCGCTACTCACTGATGCCTCCAGGGGCAATTAAGGCACTGGATACCTTCAGGACCACAAGTGAGTGTATATGGGGCTGGGCTTGGCTCTTCTTAAACAAAACCGATGAGCCAGGTCCTAATACAGATCTTTTAAACTGAGCGTTCTAATTTGGCCTGCTCCAAAGATATGTATTTTAAAATGTGTTTCCGCTCAAACCACACCAGCTGACACACGGAATGCAGCAGGCCGGGTGCAGCTTCCTCGTATGGTTACTTTTGCTGGCAGAAATTAAATTAAGCCAAAACACTTCCCACAACAAGACTCTTTGCTTCAAACAAATGGATTCGGGGCAGGGGATAGGTTGAATGGATCAGACATTTCTGTATCAGAGGGCCCCAGCACCTGGGAGTCTGACAGCATGGGGGACAGTGGCTGGAAGCCCTGCAAGGCCAGCAGCTGAGCTGGGGTTGGGAGCCCTTCTGGGCTGGTGGCAGGAGGGCCAGTAGCCGTAATGGGACTGGAAGCCTAGTAGCAGAGGTGGCTGGCAGCCAGCAGGGAAGCTCAGTGGGATGAGGAGAGCCTGGAGGTCAGCAGGATTGGGGCCGGTGTTGACCAACCTGTATTTGTTAAAAGCAACTTTGAAGGTTTGCTTCCCCCTGTTCAGACTCTCCACATAGAAGAGGCAGCAGAAGAGGATCATCTTAAACAGGAGGATTAGTGAGCACTAGGGATGTCACTGTGTAAACAACTACACGATTAACCAATAAGCCCAGGCTTATTGGTTAATCTGGTCAACTACACGCATTCCCTGCCTCCTCATGCTGCTGTCCCCCTGCACCAGGGCTGAGTCAGGCTCCTCTGGAGTTTGTCTTCTCCAGAAGTGAGGAGCCAAAAGAGTTGTTAACTGACTTCCCCACCTCCTTTTCCAGAGGATTTACGTATGTAACACTTGTCCAACTATAGATAGCTTGGAACATTCCACTGTTACAGTTTTGCTTGGTTTGGAATGGATCATTTAATTTTTCCTAAATTGTTTGAAAAAAGTTGTGTATTCATGGCAATACATTCCCTGACTCCATCACTCTTTTGTCGTCTCCAGTAGCTTCTTGTGACAGGTTTTAGCTAGAGGGATGTTTTCCTAGCTCTGAAAGGCTTGTCTGCAAGAGGGAGATAATACCTATGCAATAGCAGAGGAAGAGGTTTAATTCACTACCGTTTCAAGCACAGAGACTTAGGTAGACTATACAAGGAAGCGACATGCATTATGGATGAAATCAACCATGATACTTTGCAGATCACGGCACTAAATGTTGAACGAGAGTTTCCTTTCAGTCCCAATAAATCCATGCCCTTCAGATTAAAGAAAAACTGCAAAACAGTGACTTCCC